AAATTACAATATCCTGGGTAGTTATGTAAAATCTTAAAACATAGTCGGTTTGTATCCAATCCTTTGTAAGCACTTTATCAATGTAAAAAAATATTATTTTATAAATATGCATGTAGCATGTTATGAAATAACTATATTGTCAAGTATGAAAGTTTGGGTCTTTCAGAAATATGAAAGTATAGAAAGGGGTTCTTTCATTATGCATACTAACAATTCGTGGATTGTACCATAAATAGTATTACAAGAATTCCTTTGGTCTTGAACTAACTAAGTAGGTTAATGAAACACTATGATATGTGAAGTGGGATTCAGTCTTCACTGGCACATATGGAAGTCTACGATTATGAGGCTTATGCTCGTCCTGAAGCGCTCGGTAATCTAGATCTTAGAATAGAAATGTGTTATCTCCTTGAAGAACCCATCAATCATTTTGGATAATTGTTCAACAATCCATTTGAGAACAAAGTGTATGTTGCTCGAAGGGTAATCTTCCAAGAGAGGGAGCTGATTTCCAAAAGGGCTAGTCGGAGCCACATTGATCTTAATAAGATTCGAGAGTCAACCAACGAAGAGCTATTGAGGAAATTGACATATTTCTACCTCTTCCTTATTGATCTGATAGAGGACGTCATATGCCTAGTTATATAAGAGTTTATATTAATAAGGTAAATGAGTCACTGGTGTGGATCAATCAGAGTATACCAGCTATCAGAAGCTATGGTAGGCCCTAAAGGCTACAACATGGAAGGAGGACATGGAGAACAAGATTTAGTCCATGTTGTGAAAATTTGGTAGATCAAGCATTTGGCCTTAACCATTAGGTATAAGTAGATCTTCAAGAAGAGACAAGTATGGATAGGAACAAACACATAATCAAACCAAGATAGGTTGTGAAGGATGTGTAAGCTTGGGAAGTTCCTTATGGACCGAAACAAGCATCTCGCAATTAGAATCTTTGTTTCAATGAGAAAAGTTCAAGGAGTTTGAATTTCGAGTAATAAAGATGATCCATACATATGCCAAAGCTAGTGGGAGTAATTAGAATCTTTATTTCAATGAGAAAGTTCAAAGAGTTTGAATTTCAAGAAACATAGATAAGCCAAATATATGCCAGTGCTGGTGGTAGCATTGTAGTCACTCTTGTATCATACATAGATAATGTATGATTCATAGGAAACTATATTCTAACTTAGCAATTGTAAAAACTTGGCTTGGTATGAAAATTGTTTCGCTATAATATACATGGGAGATACATAACACGTACATGATAAGGATCTATGGAGATAGATGAATGTGATTCGTTTGATTAAGCAAAAGTGCATGGAATATTGAGGAAACCCAACATGTAGAACTCAAAAAGGAGTTCGTGCTTATTAAAATATGGCATACCATTAAGCAATGCTAATGTAGTAGTTTTAATGTTGAACTAGAGGTTATGAGTCGTGTCCTACATGCTTCTGCTATGGAATCGATCATATATGCCATGACATGTACCATATCAGGCGACTCGTATGCCTTGAGCATGACAAGTTGGATCATATCAATTTTTGGCAAGAATCAACGAATCAAGATCAAGAACATTCTTAAGTGTCATAGGAGGATAGAGGAAATGATCTTGAATGTATGGAATGTATCATTATAAGATTTACATTGACGCTAAATTCCACACTCATAAAGACGATTCCATTAGCAGTCGGAATTCGTGCTTTTACTGAATGGTGATGTATTATCTTGGAAGAGTACTAAGTAATACACCATAGTGGATTTAATACACTTAGAGTATATTGAGTTGGTGAAATTGCAAAGAAGAAAATGTGACTAAAAGAGATTCATTAGTGACATCCTTGTTGTAAATTCATTCATTGATGGTGCTTACGAAGGTTCTTGTGATTTTAAGGGTGAGCTTACCTCGAGTATGGATCCCAAATCACACAAGCTCACAAACCACATACTTAGTAAGTACCAATACATTTGATAGTGATTCAAATGTAAGGACATCATAGTCAATAAGTCATATATAAAGATAATCTTGTCGATCCATTCCTTAAGCCAATGTCACTGACCAAGTGTGACAGTTAGACAAAGTCAAGAGGCGTTAGATTTGCAAATGAATTGGCTTAAACACTCTTAGTTTGGTTTGTTTTAAACCTGAGAACTTAAAACAGTAAAAGTGGTAATTCGATTTGGCGATTATTAAGTAGAGATCTTAATATATGATGGAGATCAATCATTTCAATTAGCTTATTATTGAGTTCTCCTTTTGCATGTTTGGAACCCACTTCTCGAGTACTAATTTAATCAAACGTCCACAGTCGATCATGCTCTTAGAAGTAAGTGGTGATTCAAGACTGTCATGAATATTAGTGGATTATCCATAGTGATTGAACATTGTATATAGATTGCGCTAACACTCATGAGTACTTCATATAGATTTATGTATTGGACCAACTTGCGCTTAGAGATTACTTCATGGATCCAGTCACGAGTAATTCTAAGACGATAATATCTTGTATTATTCAAACCAAGATACATGTGGGGTTTTGCTCTATGATTCTGTTATACATTGGTCTACTCCAACGTTATCCATAACTGGTAGTTATAAAGGGTATGTCCATGTCTGACATGATGAGTAGACAAAAACTATGCAGTCAAAGTTTATTTGTTCCTTTTTCCATAACAGGAGAAGCGATATCTACGGTCCCCTTGATGATTTGGTGTTGACATCTAAAGTGCTTGGCCGAGCCATGACTGAAATCGATGTGTTCAATTTAGTAGTCAGATGTAGTCGTCACAAAAATATATTAGGAAACATAATCTTGAATTCTGAGATTGACCATTATCCATGTCTCGAGTTCATATAGATATTATAGAACGAAGGGATAGTTGATCACTTATCTAAGGGCTGATTCTTGATTAGATCAAGAGTTCAGTAGTTGCATTGGATGGCTAACTCTCTGTTGATTATTGGAGAAGTATTGGTCCTCATATAGTTGATGACTAGTCCAAGTGGGAGACTGTTGAAAATAGTGTTCAAGATCATTAACTACTGGTAATATTTATAATAATAATAGGGTCCTTTTAGGTTGCCATCAAGACCCAAATTGAGTAGAATAAATAAAGGAGAAATTTTTTTTATTAATTATTATGGTTAACAATTAATTAGAAACTGATTAGAAATATATTTTGGGATATAATTAACAGTTTAATTAATTAAAGAGTTGAATATTCATTAATTGATAGCTGGTTAATCAGCAATGTTCCAGAACCCTTATGGAATTTGGGTTGGATGAAAATCACTCCATCCTACATGGGAAAATGAGTGAATTTCGTTCTAGGCTCCTCACCCTACATGGGAATATGTACAAAAAACCTAGGAAGGGATCTAAGGCTATAAATAGGGCCTTAGCTTGAAGTTTCGCCAACCCTTCTTCCTCCCCCTCTTAGGGACAATTTCTAACCCTCTTAGGGTTTGTGAAATTGACCAATCTCCTAGTTATTTTTATTTCACTCTTTGGTGTCATTGGGTGTGATACCATTAGAGGGATTCTGGTTTGATTCCTTTCATCCAAGCAACTTCATGGGTATCAAGTACTACATAAGAGGTATGCTTTTCTTCTTTATATTTTTAATTTCTTGGGTAGATATAATTAGCATGAAACCATAGATCTTAGGGTGCATGTACACTTAGGTATATCGTAGTTTCGATTTTTCCGCTACCTATTTAGAGTGTATTTGATGCGTATATAATCTAACAATGTCGTGCCTGAGTAAATGTCTATGTTGCTCGGTATAGTGCATTCTTAGTGATCGATCACAAGGTCAGTAGTACATGAACTTGTGTATCAAACCAAGTGGTGATGTGTTGCGCTTGTAGGCCTTGGCGCATAAGTAGTTTTAGGTTAACAAATGTATATAAATGGATCTCCTTGTACGATTATAACCCTCAATAGACAGCATGTGTTTGAAAACACATCTACAATTAATAAAATTGTGTGTCTAGTTCTTTTGTAGATCAGTCGATCACTCTAATCGTGTGAATCATATTAATTTCTTGTGTTTTCTAAATTTTTCTTCGCGTCTTAGTTGTGTGCATGTTAATTGTGGATCATAACAATTTCATGACTTAAAACGACACACATCTACACTTGAGTTTAGTTGTCTTTAATTGTGTTTGTAGGGTCTAGCATTACCACGGAATATAAATGGTCAATAGGTTGTGAGCATTTGAAACGTTTATAATGATTTGGACATGCAAGCTCTATATCTCGGTTTTACAATTTCTAGTGTCAAAATGAAAAACACTTAGTATTTTAGTGGTGGTGCATTTCAATATTGTGTAATATTAATAATATATATGCTCGTTGAGAGACCTTAATCGGTTGCTCCCTGGAGGATTGTGGGGGTTTTGGGTGAATGTTTTGATGGGCGGTCACCCCGCGGAGGTTTTTGGGTGGTTGTTTTGATAAGATGGTGAAAGAACGTACATACTCTTAGTAGTTATAAAATTTTGGTCAACCACAAATATGAAATATGAGTCATACATTACCAAGTTAGAACGTAGAGATTCAAGTAACAATGTCACGCATGCATGACGGATTAGTGACGATTTTTTTTTCTATCATTCGCTGTTGATTCTATTACTCTACACTAATCTACAAAATGACAAGCTACAGTCATGATGATCTACTTGTTGATCGTTACATAACTATGAGAAAAACTAAAGCTTGCTAATTGGGATTGCTAGATGTATATACTTTGTATAGCCTATGCTAATTAGAGTAAAAGTCGATCTGATAGTTGGTGGAAAGAGCTAAGCTTCTCCATCAGCCTTTCAGCGTCAATGTCATTATCACCTTGCACCTGTTCAACAGGACAGGATGTTGTGTTATTAACTATTTCTATAAAATATTAGTTATAATATTATTGAAACAAATGATTGGCATTGCGGCCGAACAACAAACCTATGACATAAGTATGCTTGATCCAAATAGCATGGCCACAATTATATAAATAATCATAAGGTTTGAGATGTTAATTTGTGTTGAGCAGTTAAGGTCGTAAACTGACTTATTCACATTGTTTGTCGATAAAACTAAAATCATGCTTACATATACATCAACCCAGGTGAGAAATTTTCCTAGAAGCAATGACCTAAGGACATAGGCAATGCATAATTAAATGAAATAGTTGAATGAGGTCAGATGTCTAAATGACATTAAATGAATTACACTTTACCATTGTAGTATGCATTGAAGATTAATGGATTTAGAATTTAATTGTCATTGAACTCTTCATGAGAAAAAAGAATGTTTTAATTTTTTTTTAAAGTATACTTCATTAGTAAAACTTAATAAAATTAAATGTATTGTAGAAAATTTTGATAGAGTTATATGAAAAAAAAAAAAATAGATAGATTGGTGCATCCATTCAACTCTAGAAAATTTAATAGATTATAGAACCTTCTTTTATATAAATAGATAGATTGCATCTTGAAAAGATACCCGGCCATAGTACTTTGATTTCACATTGAAGGTGGCCTTAAGCGAAGATCTTTCACTCGAGTGTAAAATTGAAGAAATCACTGTAATTATGAATTATGATTTTTTCATAACACAAGAAAATGAATATTAGGGTATATTGAGTTGCTTTTTATGAATTATGATGCCATAGTTTATATAAAATGTTATAGCAAAATACGCTCATATATTTTAAGATCAACAAGATACATGTAATTATAATATAGATATAAAAATTTTATGAAAAGAATAGCCATATATTAAGGATGAATTGAAGTGAAATAAACGCTTTATTTGAATTTTGTTTCACAGAAGACCACATATGTACCTGAATATGCAGAGTGCTTAATGCCATCTCTTCCCCCGAACATTTGAAATTCGTCGCATTGAGCAAAATAAACCCATCTTCTTCCTGCTCTAAGTATTCCAAAACCTTAGACAAGAAGACAATCTCTTTCCTCTTGCTCATATGATCATCAGAGGAAATCAGTTGTATGACAGCTTCTGTGGCTCCTAACACTCTTACCGATGAAACCAAGGACGATTTTTGCATCTTTAGCACTTCTCGACTCAAATGAGCTTTTGATGATGAATACGATGAAAGCTTTTCCTTTTTATGTTTTAATTTCTCTACTTCCTTTTGTAGTTCGGGTATGTACTTAAGTGCGCGGGATACTGTCCCTGGGATACTTACTTTTTTCTGTGGCAAAAGAGAATTATTAGTCTAAGCCCACTGAATAACTAAGTACCCACAAGAATTATGCTATATGCAACTAAAATATCAGTCATGTGTTATATAAGTAAGTTCATCAAGATTGAGAAACGGATTCTAATTATATTATCTATTGTAATTTTCACTTTCACATATCACAACAAGTTAGATATTGAAGCACCTTTTGATCACTGGAAATGGGTAGCAGTGAACGAAGGAAACCATATAACTCGTTCACCCTCTTACGACGATGTCTTTCACTGGCATTATGATTGAGCTTCTTCACCATAGGATTAGCCAAATAGCCATTTACAAACCCACCAGAAGAATTAGAATTTTCAGCTGAAAAATCATGCTGGATATCTTCATATGTATCAAAATCAAGTAAAGATTTACATGAATTTGCTTCAGCTTCTATAGAAATATCATTGCAATCCCGTTGAACATTATTCTGGATAGGATCCTCTGAGGGCCATCCGTAGGTAGTTGAGAACAGAGGGGATAATGACAACATATTTTTCTTTCTTTCTTTTCTATCGTAGGGGATGTTTTTGCAGGAAATTTTTTTGGGGAAGTTAGGATGATGAGTTTGGTATATTTATACAATGGTAACGCATATCCTCTTGCATTATTAAAGTGAAATTTACATCATCTAAGAAGTTAAATGGTCCCCATATTAGATCGCAGATGCATTTTTGTTACAACTACAATAATATTTTCCAGTTCAAAAAATAAATTCTTCAAATTTAATATCAGTGAATAAATATATCAAATATTAATTAATTAAGGAATATATCTGCTAGATAATGAGTTCACACGATTCAATCAGTATTCTATTCAGTTAGAATAGATAGAATAAAATTACTATAATTTCAATCAAACAAATAAAATACTTGGATGATGGATTCACGTGGAGCTCGTGCCTCCCGAAAGCTCTAAGTTAGCTTTCCGTCGTTTAGAAGAATACAAGTTAAGCATGGCATGTGGTATACGTCCGCCCATCACCTGTCTTTAAGATATGTTGTACTTGTGAAATCAACACTTGTTTATTGGGATTAGATGTAATTTCTTATTTGATCTTCCTGTTTTGTTCAACTATGATGTAACTACTCTAATATACCAATCACTACTAGAAAACTTGGTAATTACCTACGGTAGTATTCGTAGGAAATCCGTAGGAACAAGGCGTTACCTACAGAATTCCAACAAAAAACGGTTTGTAGGAAAAACCCTCTTGGGTAATTTTTTCCTACGATTTACCTACAGACTTTCCTACGGTTTTCCTACGGAATATTCTGTTAGAAATTTAACTACGGAATACCTACGGAACACTTTTTCACAACATCATTATACTTTTGTTGCTTTGTTTTCACAAAGTTATACATCATATAAACGTATGTGAGAAGATTGTGCATCATTAGAACTCATTACTATATATGATACAAAAAACTATTTTTGTTTGTTCTTGAACAACAATTAACCTTATTAAACAAATACGTGATATACTGAACATAATACATACATATGGTTTGTATGTAAATATGTGTATTTATTTGTATTTGTGTATAGAAAATAACTTTCATTTATATTATATAAAAAAAAAGAATAATAAAGTTGTAAATCGTAGTTATTTTGTAGCTATTTTCTTCTGTTGGTAGTCTGTAGCAATTATGTAGCTAATTACCTACGGAATACCTATAGGCTTACTTTCGTCGCTATTTCGTAGCTATTTTGTAGCTAATTACCAACAGAATACCTACCGATGCGCGTCCGTTGTTATTCCGTAGGTATTCTGTAGCTATTCCGTTACTAACTTAGGGCATCCCATTCCGTTGGTATTATGTAGGTAATTACCTACGGAAATATTCTGTAGTTATTTTTCTGTGGCAAAACCCTTTGTTTTCTAGTAGTGAATCTTTAGTTATTATAATTTTGCAACTTATTTTTAACGGCAAGAACTATAGAGAAATAAAACTAGAGACGCGCTAGAGAGTCTCCATCTACGTACAACCGAATTACATAGAAGATTGGGAGCGTACTCTAAGGAGGGACTAAATAGGTAATAAAGTGGTGTTAAAAGAGGTAATAAAGTATAGTACGGTTGTATAACTATATGATAGTTATAAACAACCTTAACTCCATAACCAATAATAATAATAATAATAATAATAATAATAATAAAATAATAATAATAATAATAATAATAAAATTTAGTTGCTGATACATCGTTATTGAGTAACTTTATTTTGGCCACCAACTTGTTGCTTAGAGACACCATTTTTTACCCCAATTCATGGAGTCTAATATATTTTACGCTTCGAGACCAAGCAGGTAGGTTCCATCAAATAAATTAACCATGACTTCATATAAAACATAGAAAGCCATATATCTTATAACGATAAATGTGGAGACTCCATCATCAAGATATTATAGAAATCCGAAAGAGTTTGAGAGATTTTTTTATTATTGATTGATTGGAAAAAGACTAATACCATGTACAATATTTATAGAAGATGTAAACGAAACCTAGACAAAATAAGACACTAAAGCTTTGAATAAAAGTAGATAACTATTAAGAGTTGATGTAGAAATTGGAATAGCTGGCATATGGAAATATTCAATTCCTTTGTTGAAACGTGAAAATCGCGAACGTCCAATTTGCCCAGCAGATGGAGAAGTTGTTTTGCACCAAGTGATTTAGTAAAAATGTCAGCAACATGTTCAGTGGTGCTGATGGAACATGTTTAAATTTCTTGAGATTCAATATGTTCATGTATAAAATAACAATCAATTTTTACGTTTTTTGTGTGCGCATGATATACATGATTATTTGCAATGTAACGAACAACTTGGTTGTTGCAATAAAGATGAGTGAGACCTATTTGGGATGCATCAAGTTCTTGTAATAACCAACATATCCATAATATCTCACTAACAAAACAAGCCATAGGATGATATTCAAATTCAGTCGATGACTTAGAGACAACTAGCTATTTTTTTTTCGGGAGATAGGAGCACCGCCTAATGTGATAAGATATCCGGTTTTGGAATGTCTATTTAAAGAAAACCCAAGCCAATCGAAGTCGCAAAAAACCTTGACGGTTAGGTTACGAGTAGAAGGTAGAAAAATACCTTAACTTGGTGTGGCCTTGAGGTAACGAAAAATGTGAATGGTTGCGAAATATGGAGACTCCATCATCAAGATGTTATAGATATCACAAAGAGTTTTAGAGATTTTTATTATTGATTGATTGGAAAAAGACTAATACCACACACGGTATTTATACAAGATGTAAAAGAAACCTAGAAAAAATAAGAAACTAAAGGTATGAATAAAACTAGATAACTATTAAGAGTTGATGTAGAAATCGGATAGTTGACATAAGTTGGCATAAGGAAATATCCAATTCCCTTTACTCCCCCTCAAGTTGGAACATGAGGATCGTGAACGTCCAATTCGCCCAAAACATGATGAAATTCTTTTGCACCAAGTGGTTTAGTAAAAATGGCAGCAACATGTTCAGTGGTGCTGACGAAACATGTCTGAATTTCTTGATAAACAAGATTATTTGCAATGTGACGAGCAACTTAGTTGTCAGAATAGAGAGGAGTGGGACCTATTTGGGATGGATCAAGTTCTTCTAATAACCAACATATCATTAATATCTCACTAACAGAAGAAGTCATGTAAAGATATTTAAATTCAGTCAATGACCTACAGACAGCTGACTATTTTTTTGTTTTCCAGGAGATAGGAGCACCTCCTAATGTGATAAAATATCCGGCTTTGGATTATCTAGTCAAGGAACACCCAAGCCAATCGGAGTCGCAATTAACCTTAACATGGTGTGGCCTTGAGGTAATGAAAAATCTGAATGGCTACGTCAAAATGCAGATATCATGGAGCTGGCTTAAAGTGTTGATGACAAGAATGATGTCCGGACGAGTAACTTGTAAATATAGTACCACCTTATAAGTCACCGAAATTGATTTTCATCTACAAGGGGTGTATCATCCGCTTTATTAAGACGAAGATTTTGTTCCATTGGAATAACGCTAGGTCGACAACCTTGAAGACGACAATCTACTAGTATATCCAAAGTGTACTTGTGTTGGCTAAGTACCATCCAATCTGGTGTTTGTGTTGCTTCAACACCAAGAAAAAACTTTAAGGGTACCGAGTCCTTTATGTTGAATCTTTCGTCCAAAAATGACTTCATTTTAGTAACACAATCGATATCATTGCCAAAAAGATTGACATCATCGACATAGATAAGGGCAACCACATAAGCAGTTTGTTTTTGAAATAAGAGGAGCGAATGGTCAGCTTTAGAATGTTGAAATAATAAGGCGTCAGTGAAATTTTTATACCAGTTACGAGATGCTTGTCGTAACCTATACAAGGATGTTTGAAGTTCGTAGACATGTTTGTAACCGGTTATAACAAAGCCTTGTGGAACTTTCATGTAAACTTCTTCTTATAAATTACCATGAAAAATGCCATTATTAAAGTCAAGTTAGTGAATTCTCCATTTTCAATGAACAACAACTGCCAATATTGTTCAAACTCTTACGAGTTTAGTGGTTGGTACAAATGTTTCATGAAAATCCACACATTCGATATGGGTGAAACCTTTAGCTACCAAACTTGACTTATACCATGAAACATCTCCATTAGGTTTGTATTTTATTTTTCAAACCCATTTGGAGTCAATTTCTTTCTTTCCGAGGGGAAGATCTGTCATGATCCAAGTATTGTTGGTTTTAAGTTCTTGGATCTTGTTTTTATAGCCTCCCGCCATTTTATGTCTTTAGCTGCATGATAGAAGTGTTTGGGCTCATCATGAGGTTAGATGGTAGTTAAGAAATATTTGTGAGTGTTTGAGAAATTTTTATAGGAAACAAAATAAGATAAAGGATGTACCGTCGAAGATGCTGACCTGACGTTGGGGACAGAGTGGTCTATGGAAGGTGGTAGCTTTACTTCATAATCACCAAAACGTTGAGGTAATGTCCTGGCATGTTCTAGTCGATGGTGTTGCATTGGAATGGAGTTTGAATGTGGATTATGTTGTTCATTGTTCTCGATTATAATTTGATTAAACAAATCATCTTGGTTTTTAGTTTTTATAAGTGGTGTTTCATCGAAACTAGGCTCCGACAGTATACTATTTGTTTATGGGGTAGATGGTTGCTCGCAACCGACTAGTGTCGGCCAAATAATGGGGCTAGAAAAACTATTCCGGAGTTCAAGTGATTGAGGTTGTTCATGTGTGTCATGAAAAGGGTATTGGCATTCCACAAACTGTACATCTCTTGAAATGTCCATCTTTTTTTCTTTTAAATCGTAGACACAATATCCTTTTTTTGTCTTGGTGGGTACCCAAGAAAAACACAAGGTCTCCTCCTTTCTTTAAACTTATCATTTGATGCTTTTTTTTCTTTTATGTATACCAAGCACATGAAGACTATTATATGATCCCAAATGTGGTTTGCGATCAAATATGGTGGCTT